CATTTGTTTCGTTATTATTAGTTAGGTTGGATTTGAGATCGAATTGAATTGAATATATATATATATATATATATATATATTATTTTTTCATGAAATTTTGTGATGAAAATATTATAGGTGATTTATAATTTTATTAAAAATTATAAAAATGATGATAATTGGACTTTAGTCTTACATGAATTATGTTTTATCTTAATATAAAGTTTTATGTTAAAAAAAAAAGGACTGTGGGCGGCAATTACCTTAAACCCTTAAACATTGGTATACCTAGAAAACAATCAACACATATAAAGTCCAATAAAATGCACATACTCCAATCAAATACTACATAAGTCCCACAAATTATTTATCAATCTACTTAATATGTACGGTATAAGAAGAATGCCCAATTCACATATATGTCATAACAATGATCATTATGTGCATGGTGATATGTATAAATGCACGTTATATATATTGGTGATAAGAACTATTTAAAGATATATAAAATTTAAAACTAACTCATAAGTAATATTTTATAGCATTATAACTCACCAGTCACCACTGTATACGGTTTCTGACATTAAATTAAATCCATTTTAAAAAAAATTAAATTACTCTTTTATTAAAAGGTTGAATTTAATTTCCAACATTTACAAATGATGTAATATAGTTATTTCTATTCAATTAAGGGTAACAATATGTTGATTTTTTGTATCATGCTACATATCCTAAGAAATAACACCATTAATCTCTATTGGACATTTGGACTAAAACTACTACATTATGTTGCATCAGGTTTAACATTTTGCTAACAGAAAGATCAAATTGATGAAATAAAATGATTGAGGGAACAAATAATTTAGAACTTAGAACCACACAGTACTTCGCCTAAAGGCTTTCCCAACAATAACAACGTCTAATTATATTGTATGATCGGGGGACCCCTAAAGGCTTTCATAAAAAAAGTGAGAAAACCTGAAGAACTTAGAACCACACAGTACTTCGCCCCAAGACCTATATTCATTGAATAATTTAATTAGTTGGTTTGTGTTTCATTAACTTATTAATATCAAAAAATCTTACATTACACCAAATACATATATACATATATATATATA